CATGCCCTTTGGTCTTACCAATGCTCCAATGGTCTTTCAACATATGATGAATGACATTTTTTGAGAGCACCTTGACGATTTTGTTGTCATCTGTTTCGATGATATTTTGATATTCTCCAAAAATGAGGAAGAACATGAAAAGCACGTTCGTTTGGTCTTGGAGAAACTACGCGAGCGAGGATTATATGCCAAGTTGGAGAAGTGTTTATTTCACCAAATAGAGATGGAGTTTTTGGGGTTCATTGTGACTACGAAAGGCTTGAAGATGGAACCCAAGAAGGTGGAAGCAATCGTGTCTTGGGAGGTTCCGAAGATGATTAGAGACGTATAATGCTTTCTTAGTTTTGCCAACTTCTATCAGATCTTCATCAAGAATTACTCTCAAGTTGCTGCTCCTCTCACTCAGTTGACATGCAAGGATAAGCTGGAATGAGGACCTCTAGCGGAAAAGGCGTTTCAAGACCTGAAGACCGCATTTACTATGGCTCCAATCTTGGTACATCCAGACTTTACAAAGGCCTTTTATTTAGAAACTGATGCTTTGGATTTTGCTTTAAAAGCTGTACTTTCACAAATGAGAAAAGACAAGAAGTTCCATCTGGTTGCATTCTATTCTCGAAAGTTTTCTGCTGCTGAAATCAATTATGAGATCCACGATAAAGAACTTCTTGCTATAATGGATTCTTTCCAAGAATGGCATCACTTTCTTGAAGGAGCTGCATACTCAGTGACCGTATACATAGATCACAAGAATTTGGAGTATTTCATGTCGGCTCGAGTTCTAAATTGACGTCAAGCTCGGTGGAGTATGTTGCTATTTAGGTTCGATTTTGTTATCACTTATTGACCTGGAAAGCAGCAAGGACTATCTGATGCCTTATTGAGGAGATCGTATCTTGTACCTAAGGCTGGAGAAGCAGCATTTGATCAACAATGTACAATATTGTTGAAGCCAAAGTAATTTCAACTTTGCGCTACTATTGTGCCAATTGATGCTGACTTCCTGAATCATGTACGTGCCGCGACCATTGAAGATTCAGTAGCCATTGATATTAAGCAACGTGCCAATGATGACAAGTTCAAGGTAGAGAGAGATCTTTTATACTTTGAGGAGCAGTTATATATCCCAAAAGGACCAACACGACTCCGAGTTCTTCAATCTCACCACAATTTTCCAGTTGTGGGACATTTTGGATTCAACAAGACCTTCGAGCTTATTTCTCGAGATTTTTGGTGGCCCCAAATATGGAAGGATGTAAAAGATTTTGTCCTCTCCTGTGACATCTGTTCAAGATCCAAGAATCTTCGGCATTGCCCTTATGGACTCCTACAGCCATTGCCGATCCTACATCGACCATGGTCTTCAATTTCCATGGACTTCATCACGGATCTGCCATCATCGAACTCATCTGACAGTATCTTTATCGTGGTAGATCGGCTTACAAAGATGGCGCACTTTGTCCCTTGCAAGAAGACATCGTCCAGTGAAGTCATAGCAAGGCTCTTTCTCGATAATGTGTATTGATATCATGGACTACCAGATGATATCGTATCAGATCGAGGAATCCAATTCGTATCAAAGTTTGGAGATCTCTCTTTGAGATACTGAAGGTGGATATCAAGCTTTCTTCGACTTTTCATCCTCAAACTGATGGCCAAACGAAACGAGTGAACCAAGTCTTAGAACAATACTTATGATGCAGCATCAACTATCAGCAAGACGATTGGACTACATATCTGCCGCTAGCCGAGTTTGCATATAACAACACCCTCCATGCATCGACTTAATACACACCATTCTTTTCCAACTATGGGTATCATCCGAAGCTTGATTTATTGAGTCCGTCAACAAATAACAATCCAGCAGCTGAAGGATTTGCGAAACAACTATGAGAACTTCAAAATACGTTGAAGCTTCAATTACAATCCGCTCAAGAATCCTACAAGGCATCTACAGATAGATTTCAGAATCAAGCACCTACTTTCAAAATTGGAGATAAAGCATGGCTTCTTTGACTGAATATCAAGACCAAGCGACCATATGATAAGTTGGACTATCGAAGATTGGGACCATTTATTATCCAGAAGCAAATCAATCCAGTGGCGTACCGTCTGGAATTACCGACTTCTATGAAGGTACATCCAGTCTTTCATGTTTCTCTGTTGGAGCCTTATCGAGAGTCGTCTTTTCCTAGAAGAGTGCAATGTCTGCCACCTAGTATTGAGATCGAGAACCACGAGGAATACGAGGTTGAAAAGGTGCTGGATTCACGGCAAAGGTGGTGCAAGTTGGAATATCTTATTCATTGGTGCGGCTACAACATTAATGAGCGAATGTGGGAGCCAGCTGAAAATCTCGCCAATGCACCACAAAAGGTACAGGAGTTTCATCAACAACATCTTCATAAACCTAAGCCGGTTCGACAAAAGCTTCCTTCTGAAGCTTGCTCACCCAAGAATATAAGAAAGGGGGAGAGCACTACCAAAATTCGTAGTTGATGTAGTTATTTTCTCCAAGATAAAATAGAATTTTTTCAGTAGCCATAGTTTGGTCTTCTGATATGGATAGCCAAGACATAGATACTATGCCAGTCAGATTATCTCAACCGACTAGCTCACGAAGGCAACCTCGAGATGAAGAACCACCTACATCATGACGACAACGGAAGATACCGAGTAACCAATCACTAGTGATTGTATTTGAGTCCGAGCCTGCTTACGATGGTCAGCCAGAAGGCGTGTTCGCAGGACAATTTCACAATGAGGACACAGAAGTTCATGCTTGGTCAGAAGTTGAAGGAGTGGGCCACTACCATTGGCTTCAAGGGCCGATGAACCACTTGCCTCATGAACAACAGTTGGAGTTCATAGCAGACGTTATGCGACAGATCTTCATTTTCTTGCATTGGTACTGATTAACAACAACATTGCTTCTCAGAGACCTCGAAGCTAAAGGAGGGGGTGATGTTAGGGACATAGTCCTTAGAACCTTTTAGAGACAAGTTTCTAGAACCTTCTAGAAGCAAGTCTCTGGAACCTTCTAGAAGCTTCTTAGTTAGTAGAAGTTGCTTGAGAAGCTTCTTAAATAGAAGTATATATTGGAATGGAGGCTGAAGAGTTCTTCAGTCTCGACAACACATCTCTTGGAGTTCTAGCTCTTTGGTATTGTTTTCATCTGATTAATCTAGTTCTTTCCAGTTCTTCTTGAACTTCTTGTTAGATCTCGAGTTTGTATTTCTGTGTCCGTGACGATGAATTAGAAATATCCCAACTTCAAGCCTGAAGTTTATAAATGCACAATGGATTAGATAGAGAAATAATTGAAGAAGAAGCCAATCCTATACCAACAAAAATAGTAGAATTCTATCAACCAAAAGTGGAGACAACCACTCAAGTGCTACTACCAAGACGTTATGTAGGTAGCATTGACCTGACAAATATTATAAGCAATAGTAGAATGCGTTGCATGCCTTGAAAAAAGCACAACAATTTTATTTGAAGAGATTATGACTTGCTGATTGGAATAGTGGATGTAGTTCATGTTGATGAATATGCAGAACAAGAGACTCTTGAGCAAGCCATAAATTCACCTTTTTGTAAAAAGTGGAGTCATACCATGAAAGAAGAACTTGATTCTTTGAAAGATCATGGTACATGGAAATTTTCATTTTTATGAAATGGTAAGAATGCAGTGGATTTAAAAAAGATCTTTAAGAAAAAGCTTATTAGTGATGGTTCTATTGAACATTTTAAAGCACAATTGATTGCAAAGGATTTTACACAAGTGAAGGGTCTTGATTATCAAAAAACTTTTGTACCAATTGCTCGCCTTGCAACAATTTGTATATTTGTTGCAATTGCCACTATCTTTAATTAGAATATGCTGATACTTGATGTTGTTTCAGCTTATTTAAATGGCAAACTTAAAGAAGCAGACATTTATATGAAAATTCCAAAAAGTTTGGAAGTTCTATCAAAACATCATTTTATTAAACAATGTGTTGAGAAAGAACAAATTGGTTTGGAATATTATTCCATTAAGCAGATGGTGGCAAATATCTTCACAAAATCCCTTCTTAGAGATAAGTTTCTAGCTATTAGGGATATGTTAGGTCTTGTTTCAATAGAGAATTAAATCTCACTTCTAGAGGAGGAGTGGTGAATATTCTATATTGTAGGTACCAAAAGTTGTAACTTATCCAGCTCTTAACTAAGACACCAAAAGTGCCCTTCCCTTGGCTTTTGGCACCTTTTGTTAGCAACAAATAATGTCCATCCTGCTTTCATCCTTTCATCCTGTTTTCTTAACAAACTCTTCTTCCATCTACTCTAAAATGACGAAAAGCTTCAAATGAAGCGTTTCTGTTTGAAGCAAAAGAAAACAGAGATTGGTTGTTGCAGGCTGCGAGATGCATGCTTACGAGATGCATGCTTATGAGTTGCCAAGGATGATGACCGGATCTCCAAGGGTTTTGCATTTCCCGGATGCCATTGTCATTGCTGCATACGCTTTGATGAAATCTCATCACGACACTTTGCATCTTCTGCGGCTAGGCCCTTTCCAATCCCTTCCACCCAAATTATTCATAAACTAATGTGCGCTCCAGTGTGGATTGCCAATCCAAAGGAAGTCAATCTGGAGGGCTAATTTGAGATACGTTAGTACTGATCACTCAAGGTGCTTAATGTAGTAAGTGACTACCGACTAGTTCTCCAGATGGATGTGGTGGATATATACAGATGCGTAGGCCTAGACTCAGCTGGCCTGAGATAAGTAAATATTGAAAATACTATGAGTGCAGAAAAGTTCATAAATCAACAATGTGAAGCTGCAAAAGGATTGCTGAACAACAATTTACTGGTCAACAATCAAAAAATTATCTGTCAGCATTGAAGTTCTGCCAACTTCCCAAATGAGCTCGTAAAGAAAGCAATTAAAAAAGATCAAAAGCAGCGCACAATTGACTGGAGTAGAACAGGGACAGTTGCAAAAAGAGCGGTTTTCAGAAGTAAATAATGCTCACTTAAATTGGTAAATGTACATCAGAAACTCCAAACCCTACGGGTCTAGAAGCAATCACGTCGTGTAAAGCCTACACAACCCTATAATCCGTGAGTGGTTAAAATCTACCACTACCAGTAACCAGTACTTGAAGGCCTTTGAAACAAACAAAAGGGCACACCCAGTGGAGATGTTGAACTAGACTAGTAAGAAGCTACAGCTGAAAGAGCATCAACGGAAAAATAAAGCATGATGTATACGGAGAGGGACGCCTCCAACTCTGGAGATTGATGTCTGTAAGGACCAATAGCCCAGCGACAACATAGCTCCACATCTCCGGTTAGGACTAGTCTGCTTCGTGGATTACGAATACGACCACAGAAGGACCACCATTCTGTCAGTCAACAAAGGAGCAGCTAGTAATTTAGTAAGGAGTGTTAATCAGGGCATTGCTACTGCGTCTATATGATCAAAAGAATCTTCGAGTCCTCGTTTATAAACTACCTAATCTATCCAATCTACAATTCAAGAACTCTGTCTCTGCATTACAACTAAATTCAGCCCCTATCTTTTCAGTGCTATGGTTTAACGACTAGGATGATTACAATGTGTAACACAATTTTCCAACTTTTCATAGTTAGTGTAGTTAACCGGGAAAAAATCAGCTAGTTTCTACCACGGAACCCAGCTGTAGGAAAACACCCCAGTTTTGGATAATACATGGACGTAAGGGTACACCTAGAATTTCACAATTCCTGAAGCTTACTCGAAGTTCTGGCAAACCTGTGCTCATTCTCAGAGCTTGAGCACATTGCTGTGTTTCCCAAGTATGGTTACATCTGACAAGATGGCGGGAATATAGTGGGATAGCTCTGCTGTGAGTGATTGGAATCCAATCACAAGCTGCGAGTGGAAGTCTTGGTCCTCCTCTCCAATCAGTCGTGCATGTACTCGAATTGCTTTCTTGCACACAGCCATAAACTCCAAGAGTGCTGCTATCAGCTGCTGTAGTTCTTGTGAGCGCAATCGTGTTGAAGGTTCCCCAGACAAGAAAGCTGTGCAGACACCTAGCACTCCACTATTTACCTGTTCAAGAAGATGGAGCAACGACATCGATTCATCATTAGTCATCTCATGAAGCATGAACAACACTACGAAGTTACATCGAAATAAGGAACGCCTGTAACTAAGGAATCCGAAACAGGAATATTTAATAGTTGCTTGTAAACTGTGTTACGAGTTTAACCTGGACTGCAACACTTCCTTGCAAGATTCTTTGCAGGCCTTGTAAACGGGGCAGAGGATCTCCCTCATTTATACGTTGATCATCGAGCTCTCCTGCTAAAGCTGCTGTACGAGTCTCAATCATTCCTATGGCGTTTTCGATTGGCGAAAATTCTCGCGACTCAGACTTCACAACCATTAAACGATTTACAAGAGATGGAAAAGGCCCTTCAGTCCACAAAACCGTACGCCTCTTCCACTGATCTTCCAAACCTCCTTGGGATCTTCCATTCTTTGTGAAAGGAGTGTCAAATAAAAATCGATCGAAGACTCGTGCACTGAATGTTGACGAGGACCTCCCGGATTGTCTTTCTCGCCTGCTTTCCAAATCCTCGTCCTCTGTAACAGGATCGACAGATGTAATTTGCAAGTAACAAATGCCAGCTTGAAGATCCTCTGGATTCACTTGACGAGAATCGGGGATAATATGCAAGTTCTGCTTTCCTTCAATTACTGTAGGCTCATAAATATTTCCTAAATTTTTCATAATGTCCCCTAACCGCACGTCCCGTGGTTCCCTGTACACATACTCCTTGCAGTGCAAACTACCAAAGCTTTTCCCATAAAATCCCACACGATAATATGTTGCATCCGTGAAAGGGATAGGGCTCGACTCTTGCTCTAGTATAGCTTCGTAGATGCTGGTCAATGAAGTATGACATTTAGACAGCTGACTATAGGCACGCCTTGACTTATGGACGGGAATTATGAGCTCCAATATGCCTGGAATACAAAAGCAAATCTTTAGAATCTATTTGTCTCATTTGTCCTAAAATGCTCCTATTTGAAGTTGAGAAAACGCAATCACGGTTCCGCATGAGCTTGAAACGAAGTAATCGTAAGAAAAGTACGATAAACGTGCTAAGACACATTGAGATAAATCAACAGCTTTATTATAAGATTTGATACACAAACTGTATTGACCATCATCTAAAAAGTCCTAAAAGTAATCACCATACGAAATTCAAAAAGAGATACAAAACATACCGGCACAGAAATGGAAGAGCTCTGCCTGGACAAAGAGTTTATTGGCGAGCTGCAAGTACTTCACTGCCGATTCGACAGTCAATTTCGATGACCCATAGCCTTCAATTTCGGCAGTTGCAGCATCCCCAAAGCGGGAACCAGTGAGCATTGGGAAAATATTACCCAGTGCCTCAACATGCTCTTTTCCCCAAACATGATCACCTTTTCCTACTATAGCCTGGAAACCATCCAAGGGAGCACTCAGAGAGCCAACTAAAATTAAATAAGACATACTAATTTACAGATTGTGATGCACGATTAGCTTGAATAATAATTGTAAGACAAACAAATAAACGTAAGACCATTGTACAGTGAGCATTCAAGGCATTTAGTTAACCTCAAGAGGATATGCCTCTATGAACATAAAGGTCTAAATACCAGAGACTAACGTCCAGTCATAGTTCGATATAGAAAGTACTACGTACATGCATGATGACACCTGCAACCGCAACAGCACACTGAGCAGCCTCTGCATAAGACTGGTTGCCTTGATGAACTTCGCAGAGATACAGAAGCCACATTATATGCAGATCGGGCACGTTGGTATATGCCGTCGCCAAACCATGGTAGGCCTCTGCAGTTGCATACTTGTCATTCATTAAAATCTCAGGACCCTGCATTACGTGAATAAAACAACTGTAAGCCCAAAGATCCCAAGCCAGTTCTACGCATTAAACAGATCCTCTTGTCCACCTGTACAAATAAGCACAAAATTTTCACACAAGTATCCGAAAATGAAGTAGGAAAACTCACCAAAAGAGCATGTCCTACAGCAGCATCCACAGCTTTCAGCAGAGAGGTGGAAAGCTCAGCGACTCCAGCCCAACTCCATTGTTGGCCATTCACACCTTCTGGCAAAGCAGTAAGAGAATCTTCAGGAAGACCACATTCCCGTAGAAGATCCGCACTAATACTTTCTTGTGCAATCTGTTGCAAGGACCTACGAAGACGTTGAGATTCACCACTCTCTTCCAAGGATCCATCCATCTTAGGATGTGTTACTTGAACATCTGACATGAGCTCAGAAAGTGTGATTGTAAGCATCACCCGCAGTCTTGAAAGGCCTTGAAAGTAGTGGTATGCATTCTGCAGACAACTTGAAATTAATTAGAAATAATCTTACAATACAGAAACCCAAACCAAACCCAGGTCCTTGGGAAGTATCCAACACGCTTACATAAAATGTAACAACAGATTATTAACTGACCTCATCTGGATACCTTGTTTTGGATAATGTATGGACCAGTTCATGCATGAAAAAATTGACAGGTGCAATGCTGCTTTCACTGGTGAAATAGTATGAAAAATCTGATGACCCAAGTCGAATTCAAAAAAAATGCAGGACAACTTAACAAAACCAATACATAAAAATCCGATAGAAGAACAGAAAAACAAATGAAAGAAAGAAGAAGGTTCTCACTCGGACAAGAATTTGAAGGCCAACAACAGAACGTTTCCGTATGGACTCATTCCGGAAAACTCCGAGCCGTAGTAGATGAAATGCTACTTGCTTCAAGAACCTATCATTCTCCCTACTCATCAAGGTAGCGCCATGACGACGAAACACGTTATTGAAGAAAGGTAGAAAGGCCTTCCAAAATGGCAACGGCTGGCTGCGTCCCAGAAAACCAATAAAAATAGTTGTGATACAATCAAGCCTCATGTAGTCAGTGAGAACAGCTTGACTTGATACTGCACTTATAAACTTCTCAAGTACCTCCAAAATTTGGAGCATAGCAGAGGCACTAAGGTTCTCCTCCCATAGCTCCTGAAAATAAGCAAAAGAAACTAAAAAGATTGTAAGGGTTGTCAAAACTCACAACTCAGAAAGGATAAATAGACACATCAATCCACACAAATTACCTCATTCTAGAGGGGAGGGGAAATTAAAAAATACTGACCAACTTTTGGCGGAGCATAGGATGCAAGGTCTCACGAAGAGACCTGCCTCCACTTCTTCCCGCAGACTGTGCTTGGGCTAGTGCCTCTCGCAACGAATGCGGCTGACCTGGGCTAGTTGAACTATTTGTTACAGGGCTTGCTCTTTTCCAGAATGAACCAATCTCTGGACTCGTTTGTGGAAGTATCCACTGAGCATTTGGAGAAATCTTTGTGAGCTGAATTACAAGAAAACGTTACCACAATACAAATTAGAGCTTCAACACGGAACTGGCATCATTGACTTTGATAATAAACAAATAAAAATGTTGAACGCAGTCCAATTACCTGTTCAAAATCCTGAACGAAACTTCCACACGCATTATAGCATTCATAGAGAACTACGTAATATACAGAAGAAAATCAAAGCAGCAGGGAGATAGGAGATACCACAAAGCAAGTAGGAACAAAATTTTGCAACCATACGACAAAAGAATCACAAGTATCAAACGAGAGGCTTCTCCAATCTCCAAATACAGACAAACAATTCATGGATAAAGTCACCTACTCTGACATCCTGCCGAGATGCCTCAATCAAAAACTGATTGACTGCAGGTGAGAGCTTCTCGGAGTATCGAAGGGGCCCTTCTCCTTGATCATTCGCTGGCATAGCTCCCATCAAGCCATCTGCTCCAGCCTTCTTATACTGCTCAATGTAGAAAATACGTCAGTCACCCAAAAGAATACTTCCTCGAGACTATGTATGAATGATACATGAGCTGAGATTCACGATAAATCCTCCAATATTAACTCTAATCCTATTAAATCAAAAGAAATTTTAGCTGTGTCAAAAATCTCGCGCTAAAAGATAAATATCCTAAAATGCACTTCTCTTCGAACGTGATTCGTAACCAGAGCAGCAAAAGGCATTGAAAATTAAGTGTCAAGTTGAAGTAAACGAAACATTAAAAGTTCTTTATTTTTGAAACCCTCCGTGAACTTTTGGACTTCTAGATAACAAGGCTACAGGTTGAATTTCTAACCTCCAGCAATTCCTGACATTCTTCCAGGAGTTTGAAAAAAAGCTTTGTTCTATCCATGTTGTGCTGCCAAGCTTTAACAAGAGATGCATCGTCTAGATATCGCAGAATGTGAAGCACACACACCAGCACTTCACGCTTCTCTGTAGTGCTCAGGCCATAGAACACTGGCATTTCGTCCAATATCTGTGACACTCATACAATCGGCCAATTATCACTCCTACACTTTACATCGGAATACGTTTTGTGAGAGAGTAGAATCGCAAAAATATGAAATGCGGCTCCTCGTTGGACGAACAAATATTCAAGTCTCTAATACACCGTGTACCAATCCAACAAGTTCTTCAAATGTGACACAATGAGACACCGTCGAAGAAACAAACACATTCGCTTGAGCTTACCAGGTCAACTAGTGGAAAGTAACGTTGGGCAATATACATTTTGTCCTCCAATGTTTGATACCGTGCATCATACTCATGCTTGCACATAAGTTGCACAAGGATTCGAGCTGCCTGCACGGATACCATAGATTTCAAATCACATTAAGCCAGGCAAAGTTTAGAGACAACTTCTTTTAATTTACATTTGTAGTGTAGACAACTCATTTTAATTTACATTTGTAGAGTACCGTTATCTCTTACTCTAAAATACAGAGTCTAATCTTTCAACCAATTCAAAAGAAAATATGACGAAACACAATGATGTTCAAGAACAAACTACTTATGAATGTAAGCTAAATTTTCACCTTAGATCTTAAAGTCAGATCTTCATGATCCCAAGTAACAAAGAGCTCTTGCATCAACAGTGATGCCAAATAATTCCTGCAATTGGTTAAAATACGGTTATTTTAAACCCCAGCACATCAGCCCCGACATGGATATACATGTGCACGCTGACATAATCTGATTTAATGATGGAAAGGAATCAACAATTCTAAACATGGATCCTAGCATAGGCACGATGCACAGTACCTCTCTGTAGGATCTCGACCGGGCATCTCAACAAAGAGATCATGGTCACAGACGATGCGCAGAAAATTAAGCTTACATTCGTGCACAAGAGATTGACATACCCCAGCAAACTTGTTGAAATAAAGCGCAACCTACATGCAGAAAATATAAAAATCCGAGTTAAAATCTTAAACGTCCAGATAGAGGGGAGCCAGACAGCTAAGATAGCACAACAGCAACACTTGTTTCGTCAGCAAGTCAGAAAATGTACTTCATCACTTAAAAGGCATCGCACAACTAGTATCATAACTAAGCACATAAAAGATGCCAAGACGCATACACCATACGAAGGCAATCGTTCCTACTCTTAAGGAGGGATATACCAGCTCAAAGACTTGTCGATGCTCAATTACAGAGAGAAGGTCATAGCAAAAGTATGCAATACTGCTATTCAGCTTCATTGCGAGAAGCATGCCCTTCTTGCAGCGCTCATGAACCTCTGTCAGTAAACAATCATAGAGCTGTACGATACTTTTAAAGACCTCATCAATGAGCTGCAAAGGTGGTAACTCCTCTCCTGTGAGAATACATACAACAAGAACTGTTTTAAACTAACTGTAAAATAAAAAAAATATCAACACCGAATATAATACGTCAACAAACAAGTTATGACTATGTTCTTGAGAGTGAAAGACATTGCTTATATTATCTTCCATCAGCTACATACTCAGAATGCCTTTGAAAAGTGGTCCCAATTCAATGCTAGTCCCTCACAAGTTTCAAAGCACGAGGACAGCAAGAGCAAGTAACGAGACGCACACTGCTATCAATTACAAGGAGTTGTTGACAAATGGCAACATACCAGGTGGGAGGGACTCAGAGTAAATGCGGGATTGTTCAAGTGCCATGGACTTGACAATTAGCTCCAGGAACACCCAAGCCATGGAAAGAACATCATCATACACAGGTCCGACACGGTAGCCTTTCGCCTGCACAAGTTACATATATTGAAACTCCTGTTTCAGAGAGAGTTGATTGATTCAGAAACCTAGCCGACTGTCTAACAAAGATTAAACTTCAATCGAGATAATGGAAATAGTTACCTTGCTTCGAGCAAGGCTGCGCCATACACTGCACAGACCTGGGTACACAGGCTCATGACGCCCACCAAAATCATTAAATGCATAATCCACATAATGCACAAGGTAACGATTTCTTTCAGCCCCATCAGATGTCTCTGCTTGTACCCTGCAGAATAACAACAAATGATCAACAAATGTTAAAATGGCACCTCCAAAGACTGATTTTTATATAAAATGACCAAGTAATACACAACCACTAGAACGTCCATTACCTGGTAATGATGTTAACCATTGAACGGAATGCAGCAACCTGACCCAAAAAATATCAGACTGTTAAAATCATACGTTAGACACACTATTACTGAATGGCAAAGCGAGGAACAGCAAAGAACGTCTGCGCATTCAGCGAAAAAACCAAGGAACAAGGTTATGGAGCTGCCCACTAAGTGAATGCACATACCTGCAACGTTTCTCCTCCATCGCGAATCATACGAAGCAGCATGTTGAGAATAGGTTGAAGAAACTGGAGCATAGCTGACGGCTCAACCGTCTTCAGAGCATTAATAGCCTACACAGGAACAACAAAGCTTACTAAGCCAAATTTTGCAAATTGAGGAATAGCTAAATAAAACTCGTTACCAGTCCGAGGAAAACTTTTATTTTTGAACGTTCATTCATAGAATTACAACCTTTGTGAACACGACAGGGTTTAACTACTTCAATAGAGGTGATCGTACAGTACTTCCGAGGCTCAGGAAAACTAGAAATAGCGAAAAGCAATTTAAAAGATGGAGATAAATTTGTAGTTCAGCGTAAAAAAACACCTCCATCAGCTCAGTACCCCAGGGTGGACTGGTCCGCAAGACATGTCGATCGTATTCTGAAAAGAAATCTCGGATCCTCTCATTAACCGGATAAAGAGAAGAGCATAATCGTGACCTCAATTTAAATACAGTTTTGCCATCATCCAAGTACTCCAACCTTTCCTGCAAAAACTCATTTTTCGAAACTAAGTACCTAATACCGAGAATCAAAGTGGAACCATCATTTGATCCGACCAATTCAAACGCACATACCACGTTAGCAAGAAAACATGAAAATGAAGCGCAGGGGGACCATCAATAATGTTTCCCGACATAAAGACAAGTTCACTCATTCACTGCAGCGCAAACACGTGTGTCAATCACCTTCACATTTTCTTGTAGATAATTGGAATACAGCTCCTTTGCGATAGGTAGGCTGCCGTCCAACCGCTGAACCCTACAGAAACCAATTCCTGTGAACAACACTGTGCCTAGTAATTGTATGCTACTACTCTTGCAAAGGTTTTCTGAACATTACTTTTCACCTCGAAGTTCACCAAAAATAAACAAAGCTAAATGATATAACAAGAAACGTAAACAAATATAAATTACTAATCAAGAATTTTAAAAAAGGATTTACTTTTGATGAAAAAGTCCCAGATTATACAAGGCGCTAGCAGATCATTAAGAACAGCGAACTTACTGACAAACAAACATGAGCGGAAGAACAGAGTATCCCACTACCACCTGCCAAATACAGAAAATAGAAGATAAAACGTAAGTAACTAAAGTGTCCGTCAATTCGGCAAGTAAATGATAAAGATCATGCACTAAAATCGCAAAGAAGCAGAATCCGACTCGGTTAACCGGAGCGTATTGCATTTGCTAAACATACCGGCTTTGGAGCCTCAATTTTCATCTGTAGATCCACATGAAAAAACGTGAACAGAAGGTGATGCTCAGGAGAGAGAACGGCAGGTAGTTGAATTTTGAACTCATCATGATAGTGAGGTGTCTTGGTGTTTGCATCGATCTGAGAGTGTGCATATTTCTGCATAGAGCTGTCAGCATCCCTCGGATAAAGGGCCTGCTAACAAAAATATTTGCACGGTCAGTTGTCCAACATTGACAGACAAAAAATCAAAGAGTCGCAACATTCAGGAGATCAAAATGAACTAACACATAGAACAAAACATGACCACATGGAACATATTGAAGTTCCAACCCTTAGATAAAGCTATGTTTAATAGATAATAAGTCTACTGGTTACAAGGCATCCATAAAATAGGACAAAAGATTCCGTAGTACAAGAAAGGTGGAACGCGGCATACTGTAACTGAAAGCAACGAGCTGATCGGAGAGCACGTGCATGAAAAGACTATACCTCGAGAGGAGATTTGCGAATGTCTACATCATCCTTTCGAAGCTCCACTCGCACAAAAAGATTGCGTTTTCGACTTAAATTGACTGATTGAGGATATACATACAGGCAGTGCAATAGCTGAGGTAAAACCTCAACTTTCGAACCCGATCGAAACTCAATAGCCCGGAACTGCCACACAGACACATAGCAACTTGATTTCATGTCCAGAAACTTGAGTGTAAAGTGCTATTCAGCATGCATCCTATCAGAAATACTTAATCAAATCTGCAAAGGAGACAGACAATTAAAGCAAGAGTTAACTTAGCCCACATACGTCAAACTTTCCAAATTCAATGCTGCCAACACTGCCGGAATGCAGATAGCGATGTTTTCTTCCAGGGCTCCATTTCTGCCGCCCATTATGCGTAACCTTCGTCATGCCCAGCCCCTGCATGAAACGCCCTGAGAAAGAGGGTCCTACTGTCAAGCGGGAATCACCATCAGTGGACCCACGACCAAAACTACCACACTCAAATATGGAATCTTGGTCATGATCTTCAGTAGATAACCTCTCTATCTCGAGACGAAGGATGGCCTTCACGGGTTTGTGCACTTTGTACTTGGGATCCTGCACAGCAAGCACAGAACATGTAACCTATACTGTGGATAGAGTCAATTGGTAAAATCCTGCTTCTTTTATGATAAGACCCACTAACCAAGTCTTTAATAATCAAGCTCTGCGAAGCGCAGCTTGAATAATGTCACAAGGTGTACATTATTTGCACAGCTGAAAAGGCCATAACAAAGTAGCAAACCTGAAGCATTTCCTCCGTGTAATTTTCTTTGACCCGGCGAAGGCTCTGAACATCAACCAAAACTGGCACACTAGATGATTCTGTCTTAGCATCAGCTATAAGTCGTCCATCAGAATCCAAGGATGCTTCCATCAAAGATGGTCCAAAAAGTCCTGGTGGAAGTGGGCTGCTTGGAGAAGATGAGAATCCTCCTACACCTCCTGTTATATTTGCATCAAACAGAGCAACTACTGCCCACGCGAAAGGCTCCCTGAATGGCATCACGCGCGCCCAGACCTGTAACTTCTGCTTTTCTCTCTCGGTCAAGTGTACCTTCAAACAGAATGCAGTTGATTTCAGCCGTTATTGGATGTTCGCGAATCACATCAAACAACAGATGATCACCTAGATAGCGTTAAGAACACAGGGAACGTAGAGAATATAGAAACAAATCATTCCAAACATAACATCTTGCAACTTTCATACTACACAAAGAAAGGTGACAAACAGTACTGAATTTTAAAAGGCAATCATCTGTCAAAATACACATAAACCATTGCAATAAGCTTGGCCTTTGTAGGGCCAGTAAAATGCATTGCTGCTCTATTTGACTAAAGGTCCAGTAATTCAGTCAAGGATTTCTCAAGGACGCCAAGAAAGCAACTTCCAATCTTGCAACCGACTCACAGGTTCTTTTCGAGAATAAACATGAGCCGTTACTCCTCCTTCCTCAGTCACATGCTTTTCAAGCTGGATCAACAAACATATTGCTGGCGACGCTGCCTCCAGTGAAAATATAGCTCTTCTCAGACAATTACCACCCTCCTGCCAAGTTACACACTAGTGTTTAACGTTATTTAGACACAATTGCAACGCAATGACTACTAGAAGCTGCAGCACTGTAGGGATATAGAGCTTATGCACTGTCTTACATCTTGGAACTCTGATGGTAAACATCGGAAGTGAAAATTTTCTGATAATTTCTCCCGCTTCTCTCGATGATAGAGACACAAGGTACCGTACATGGGTTCTGTGGCATGTCGCAACATCCAAAGTTTTGTTAATCGATATATAAGAGGTGAATCATAGGACGAAGCCCCAACATCAAAGAGCCAAATTGCTACGAACGAAAAGCCACAGGCAACAACCGTATCTCATTTCTAAGTACTACGTAAGTACATTCTATATTATAATAACACGTACTATCAAGAAAGTTCCATGACTCAGTATAACCAAACAGCGTACTGATGAATAGGAAACCAAGGTAGGATCATTTAAACAACATCTAAGAAATTAATCCGTTTCAAAATGTGCAATTTCAATCTAACTAACGCATTCATAAAACCGTTACCATACATAAGGACATCTAATTGTGCACTTATTCTGGATATGTAAGTCACAAATTATTATGTAGTACTCCAAGAAGCTTACCGACAAGTCCGGCCTGAACATTCAAAGAGACAACCTTCACAGAAACCTTCAGCCCGCTACTGCATCCAACAAAGACAGAGAGAGATAATGCAATCTACTGTTGTACAAGATCAGACCACACAATTCTTTACTTCGATTCTCTTACAAACTAAAAGTAGATCTTCAGTCAAAATAGTCGAATAGATCAATCGTCCAGGTTCCAGGTATGGATATCTAACATCACTCTCCTCTGATAAACTTACTGTAAGGTACATGTGTGGGGTATAAAAGTAAAGTAATGTGACCTAGATGATATTGCTGATGGAAGTTCCGAAGTTCTTTGTCCAAGTACAGATGCCCTTGTTGCTCGCCAATTATAAACGGGCTCATAAGGAGGTAACGGAGCAACCCCATAATGCTGTATGCAGTACAGCCCGTTCAGAATAAAAAGACCAATCATGAGACCTTGTCAAATGTTTCATGATGTGTAAACATAGGCAACCCCTATAATATCACTTATTCGTAGGTTAATCAAATGACTATTCGACCAGACAGCCAATATAGAAGGAAGAAAAAATAAAATCGCGGAAAGCTGACTACTCAACCAGCAAGTTCACTTCGAACATCATATGCTAACATATCAGTAGTTTTGTCGGGTAAATCTGCGAATTCTTGACCAAAACATTGTCGGTTCGTAATTTGTGCGGCATTATCACTTCACCACCTTGCTAATGCACTAAGGGCAAATTGGAGAATCAATGATGCCCTGCAATATTGACATGCACGACAGACTGACCTTTGAGATATTTGTGTGCAATGCTTCAGGTGCATCACTAGTCGTAGATCTCATAGAGAAACGACCAGATGACCGTACAGAAAAACGTCTTGAAAGCCGTCGTGGAGTTTGAGGATCTTCATCATCAGTAACATCACCATTTCTGCCGAGTCTGACGTTAGAAAGCCGAAACTCTGCAGAGCAAGCACCACGTCAGCGGACATCTATGAGCAGCACCTCAAAAGACTAATTTCTATCATAGTAACACCTTTTCACGAAAATTAGCCAAATTGCTAATGTACATTTCTAAATTCGAACCAAAATTATCTTCTTGTAGCCCAATCTGTACTTTCTCAAAAACTTGGATGAAACAGCCAATTAGATGAAGATTATGCATGAATATATGAAACGTATTTACATTCAAGTATTAGATGATTCTGACAAATTAATGACTACAGTATATAAACAAAGACTGCCGTCACCATTGATAAAATCCAAAATCCTTAGAAATGCCAAAGGTAGTACCAGTGGTACAATTTCAGCAAAAGGCTTACTTTCAAAACACTCTGACCTGAGGCTGCATCTCAAGATACTACAGCGAATCTAATCTGAAGGCACTTGGAAGTCGAGTTGTGACGAATTGCACGAGGGCTAATACGCTATAACCCAGATTTAAAATTTACCTCTTGCAATGATTCGCCAACCCCTTAACATTATGTCTATAATGAAACACTAAACAATTCAAACTATGCCACAGACACTTACCTGTCTGTATGTCAGTGTCGGGTCCTTCAAAAATCTGATGTTCTAAGGCTGGCGGTGGCACAGCTTCATAATGACCGTATTTGAACTCATCCTTCACCCATTCAGCCCTGTAGCTTTGAAGAAGCTCTTTGAAATGTGGGAAAGGGTCTCCATTCCCATTCAGCTGGACGAATTCATTCACGTTATCGACATTATCAGGATCTCGCATTACAGGAACAAACAAACTCATAATTTTGCAACATGATTAATAGGGTATTCTCGAATCATTGCACATTTCAAAGACTGACCCGAATAATGTAGCATGCAGCACAATACCGACTAGCAGAAGAGGAGGAAAAAATATGACATCAAGAAACGACTGAATTTGATAATTTACCCTGACAACCTCCACAAGGTAAGATAACAAGCGCGGCGCAAACATCAGAGGTAAATCAACGATAAGGAAGGAATTCTAACCAAGGACTCAAGATCTGTTGACTGCCCGATGTACGGGTGTGGGATACGTTTGAACCGCTGCCCGCTCAAGGCAATTTCATCCATCCCCTGCTGAAGATGTTTAAAAAGAAAAATCAAAATTCTACATTAACATTCATAGATTCCGTAAAAGGCAAACCGCAACACGGACTTGCTCACTAAAAGAATCATAATACAATGAGATCCGAACAAACGTAACAGTTGTCCATACAATGCAGTAAATAAACATCTCAGACTACACCATTAGGGTCAAGAAGATATCCCTCTCATTCCTGTGAGAAAGCATCGCCTGAACACTCTAAGTGCCCTTTCAAAGTAGGATGCCAATATACAAATAAATAGAGGCTTTACGTGATTGGATAATGAATAGCTGCTTACTACATTCTTAGAGACTGAAGAATACGAGGTGCAAAAATACTTCAGTACTAATGAAAAGACATTCCCAAGAACTGGCTCACAGGAACCTCGTTCAATGAAAACAGACAAGGGGTACTTCACTCGCTTTACTTTGAAACCACCCCTTTTTCGTTAGAAAGCCGTGTAAAGGTGCATGAAGTGTTAAGGTTCGGTAAGCCTTTTATCATGAGCTCACGGTCGGTGCAAAGTCCTGCAGCTTTGTCTAGGAGTTAATCGTTATTCAAGAAACTGGTGTAAATGTAGAATTGATTGTGTTGACCAGGAAATTTCACGTACATTTATAAGTGAATCTCCCCTGATAAACCCGCAATAATTTAAACTTGCGTTTCTAAGCAGTTTAAGCACGCACTACAGATTCTCTGGACAGTTACAAGCTGTATAGTGAAAAGTAACGTCCTGATTCATCGATCAAGCTCACAAACTTCCCAGAGCAGGCACATGGCATACACATAATCGTCCGCCTCTGGCTACAGTGAGATTAAGGTGGTCAACTCCAGTTCTTATGAATTTTCGATAGGTGGTCACCTTCTTAATTGATCCGCTGTCGACGACAGCTCTAGTCTCGAAGCTCAGCTCCCAGAATGCAGAGCTTTCTGTCTCTGCATTGAGTCCCCATGTCTCCTCCTCGTCCCTCCGATCATGACTACCTACCCTACATTGTCCTACTGAGTCCGACACGTCGAACCTGGATCCTTTTCCCTCCTTGACGCTTTCCACCCTGTGCACTCAAGCAAAGACAAAAGCTGAAGAGTCCAAGTAACTGGCAGTTCAGTTGATATTGTGATGTAGAAACTGAATTAAACTTTGTTTGGATGTTCAAAAACTCGGAACAGGGAACCTCCTGCTAGACCGCGGCTTTCAGAGCGGAAGGGAAATATAAGTGGCACAAACTTGCAATTCGTCAACGTTTAGGTTTCCATCTAAATCGTGCAGAATATCCTCAAAGACCAACATTTCGAACTAAGGCCGCCTGAGCGACTCCTCTCCAGCGAAAGTAGCTTTCAGAAAAATGGAGGATACTTACGACCATATAGGCGCTCCAGCGACCAAATGCATTAGTGTTGTGCTCTTCCCTGCATCCTAAAATGCTCAAGAAGTTCAGTGAACATGCCAAAAGTCCTAGCCGAGATAGGAAAGTAAGCTAGTAACCATTTAACCCCAGTAGCTGCCAAATGAAGACGAAACATATGTAGAGAGGGCTGCTGCGATACAGGAGCATAAACACAGAGCTCCAACATCGTCAAATAGTGCCCTGGTGAAATAAAAAAGAATCAAAATCAAAATTACTCCTGTCGTGCAATACTAATTGCCACTCCTAAAGGTAACCAGGCAGCTCCAGCAACCATTCAACAGTCAATCAAGACGCAAGAAGTACTACTGCCAACACTCTGCTAGTACTCCTCCCTGGTTCAAAAATGAGGACCGGAACACTCCACCCTCAACTACTTCCTCGAGCTGCTCAAGCGCTACACAGCCTCCGCGGGACACTCAATCAACCAAATTCCCGCAACTTCACGCTCCCATATTCATCGCCGGACCGGAATGCCTTTCAAAAATGAAGGAAAAAAAAAAAAAAAAAAAAAAAAAAAAAAAAAACTGTGACTTAGTCAGTCCTAACCTTACGCAGTGTGAGACATCCTCCACAATCACTCCTCCCGCCTCTCGCACCGAAATACACACTACACTAACCTTCCACTCGCCGGTACTCCAGCTCTTGCGCAACGACCAAATCCTTGCCAACACCTAACGCTCCACTTCAAAACACAGAAACCGCTTTGAAAGGTAACATCCAGGACGGTGTCCGTTGCGACGAAGCTCATTGGAAGGCGCAAAGCGCGATGCGAATGGAGGAGTACTTGACAAAAAGGCGGCATCAGAGCGGCGCAAATCGTCGGAGTACGGCAGACAGCATCGTCAAGGTCATCAGTGGAGTTTCTGTCTGTGCCTGTCGCTGCTACTGCCCTCCAGCTCCCCGCTCCCACTCCCCCTCCCCCTCCCGCTCCGAGACCTGCACCACCACCAGCACCAACACCAACACCTCTCTTCATCTACCTGGGCTGGACTCGGACTCGCACTGGACGGTGAATGAAAGGCGAAGGAAGGGCAAAGGGCCAAGGGCGGGGGAGCGAACTCAAGACCTCGTTTTGGGACCGGGGTGGCGCCGCGTGGCTGGTGTTGGGCTGTGGACGGCGTGACTTGGCACACTGTGTTTACCCGGTGCTCTATTTAGGCGTTACCGATTCACGTTTCGACCAGTTTGGTCCTTAGGACCTGGAAGGCCACACTGGCGGCCTCATCAGTGGGGAGGGGAATGTGGAGGGAGCGAGGGATTTATATGCTTACTTACTCCTTCTCTACCCATCTCCTCCTCCTCCTCCTCCTCCTCCTCTCTGCTGCTTCTTCTCCCACCTCTGCCCCCACCCCTCCTCCTCCTCCATATATTCACGCCAGATTTAGTGCCTTTCAAATTAAGCCCATGGACTCACTCCAATATTTGGAGTTCTCTCCCTCCTCTACCCCCACTGTTCTTTGTAAAGTTTAGTGTTCCATGATGGTTGGTAGTGGGCGTAATGTGTATTATTTGAACCTTGCCATGAGTCTTCTTGGAAAGAGAGGTAATTTTTGCTGATAAAGAAGAAAAAAAAAACACAAAAAAGTTGAAATGAATTGAAACAAACAGAAGAAGGGGGTGAAGCAACCAAAAAAATAATGTACAAAACAAAACAACAAAGAGGTAGTGAGAGGGGAAGTGGAATAAGAAGGTGTAACAGCTGAACACAGATAATGGCTACAGCTGTTAGTTTTCTTTTTTTAATTTTTTAAATTTGTATATTTGTATCATATCAGACATGTTTTGGCAATAAATAAGCACTGAGTGGTGCTGAGTCTGGATAATGCTTTAGAGAATGCCTGGTGTCATTTTCTTGATCATGAGCCATGAGAAAAACACCAAGTTTATGTTCCTTGCCCTCCTGACATGCAAACCTTGATTTGTCTGACAACTTCACACAAAAATAGGCATTATAGCAACATCAATGCCTCAGCATGGCCACATCCAACAATACAAGGTATGATAAAACAATCTAATACATCTCCAAACGATCCTTGAAATTTGTGCTCCTTGATCCCTCCAGAACTAAATCCAAAAAAAATATCTCAAGAACTACATATCCCCATTGGAGGAGAACCAAAGAAAATACAAATAAAAAAAAGGGAGTTACCTGTACTACACAGCTGTTCCAACATTCTTGTTCATTCTAGCCAAATCCTTCACAGTAAAATACAAAAAAACAAAAAAACAAAAAAACAAAACAAAACAAAACAAAAAAAAAAAAATCCAAACACCGCCATTATTTATACCCAAAGGACAAGCTCACAACAGACAGAAGACTGTTGAGTAAAGTTTTTAGGAGAATTAAAATATATGGAAGATATAACCACTGTTCATGGTACAGATAGTTTAGATGCGTTATCTGAGCTCATCAAAGAACATATGTACACATGAGAATGGACGTGGGTGGGCACCAAAGCCACCACTACCAACACCACAGCAAGGAAGCTATCCAAGCGGGACAAACCATGCAGCCCAAACCCTAAAAATGATAATGACAACAATGATAATAAAATTAGAGACAGAAAGGGAAGGGAGCTCCCTGTTGTTCTGGTAGGCTTTGACTTTGGCTCTGTGTGTACAGTTAGTTAGTGGTGGAGTTTGTGGCCTTGAAAGTGAGCCTTCCACAGCTATGTGAGCTAATTTCTAGAAGAGACTGGACAGACAAGCCTAACTAACTCCTTTACCAGGATAGGGCCCCTCCACTTGGCCCTTATCACCTCCCTGCTGCTTGAGTTTAGTAAGGGGGATATTAATAGAAACCAGTCTTCAAACAAAAAAATATATATATATATATATATATATATATACATGGGTTGTTAAATTTTTATATGAATATGTGAGTGAATGATGAGTTTTAGTCAGTTCAATATGTGTAACTTATGCCAAGGTTTTGAAGTTAATTGTATAACACAGTTTTGTGTAGTTGAACACAGAGAGACAACAACATGAAATGAGTTAGACTAATTGTTGAGCAAGTGGAAGGAATATTGTAGTTATGTTTGATATAACCTCAATACCTAATGGAATTATGCAGTTGCAACAGTAAAGTGAAATCATAAGGAATGTCAACTTTTTATTGGTTTTTGGTTTCTAGGGATCCTTTTTTTTTTGTTGCAATTTATACAACATATTTTTGTTTTTGTGATTGAATCAATAACACTGTATGCCTCTTATTTTCAGGCGATAAGATTACATGATATAATTTTTTTTGTAGTTTCAAAATTTTATTCTAAAAAATGCTCTTGAATTAATCAATCTACATGAAAAATAATTCTAAGAAACATTAAAATATCTTAAAAAGAATGAATTCAAAGCACATTATTTCTATTTCTGTTAGTTTATAAAAAAAAATCTTCCAAGTTTTAGTAGTTATATAAACCTAATTTGTTTAATTTTTTATATTACTAAATTTAATGTGTTGTAGTTAATATAATAACTATACAATAAAATGAATTGAATTTGGTTATATAGTGAGAGTACTAAGATTTTGAGAAAGTAAAAAAGGTATTTTTTTTAATATCATATTAACTGAAATACAAATTACAAAGTATACACTATGTGGTATTTAATTCATAGCTTTATTGTGAATCACACAACCGTAACTTTCATAATATGGTTTTAATTGCATGATTCTTTTTTTAAATGCTTATTTCCATAAAATCACGGGGACTTCAAAGACCTCCAATTGACACTAAAAAATTGCACAACATTAGTGAACTGAAGTGCAACACAAAGTAGGTTACACTCTTTCAGTTCTTGTTGTCATGAATCTCCTCTTGTAGGCATGTGAAAAATAAAGTTATAAGTTGCAAAAAAAGAAAAAAAAAGTATTGAGACTTTGAATAGTTTCAAATACCAAAACACTGTTTCAAAAGAACCCATAGAATAAAAGTTAATGAAAAATGTCTGTATTTTCACAATGCTTACATGTTTATAGAGTTGATTTGTAAAACAACTGTAATTGTGAGTTTTTGAAAACTGACCTTCACGAGTTTCGAAAGAATCATCTGGACTAGTAAGCTGAAATTTTTTATTTTCTTATTTTTTTATTTTTTTAATAAAAAAACTAACAATAAAACCCAAAAACAAAAATGTCATTTCAAGCACTGTTATAGAGTGTAAAAAAAGAAAAAGAAAAAATTATGACCAAATAAAGTGAAAAAAATACATAAATACAAACATTATGTTGCATAAATACTACTAAAGGCACTAAATTTCCAATTAAGTCATATTAGTGGGAGTACGTAGAATTTACTCTCTAGCCTTATATAAGCTAATAAGAATGCTTTTAAAGCTGTTTAATATTTATAGTAATATAAACAATCATTTCAGATTGAATATATTTTGAAAATCTAGACTGGTTCTAAGTGAACATTGAAAATCTCTTGAAAGATTCCAATTGTAACTATTGCAATCTTTTTATTTTAAATATAGAACATATAAAACTAAAATTTTAATGATATTTAGATAATTCTAATAAAGAAGTTAAAATGCATTAAATTACTTGTAAAGATTTTTAAAAATATATATAATGGTATTTAACAATATATTTTTAAAATTTTGTAAAGAAATCAAATAAGACTATATTTACGGTAATTTAAAATGCTGCACAAGTTGATAACTTGTGTAATATAAACCTGATGTGTTAAATTCATGAATGCAGGTTAGTGAAGAGGAGCCAGTAATTTCTTACCCTCAAATCTGTGAAACTTGAATTGTCCATGGAGGTACAAACATAGAACATACTGAAAAATGAATGAAAACATTTGCAAAACTCAAGTTCATATTTTACATTTTCATTGTCAATTTCAGAAAAATAAATAAACACTATATTTAAATTGTATAATTTCAAAACTTGAGTGCATTAAAATGTGAATAAAAACAAAACAAAACAGACCTTTGACAGATCACTGTCATTGTTACTTGCATTATCAACCATAGTAATGCTTCAAATGCAACACATTTTATGTGTGGTTGTGGCCAGCCTTATTGTTATGTCACCACCCTGGTATCATAGTATACCATCTAAATTTGTATAATCCACTACCTAATTCAAATCACAGTTTCATTTCTGACATCCATGCTATGCTTAAACAGTGACATTTATGAAAGCCCATAAATTCTCTTTTTATATCTTGAAAACAACTGCAATTATCAAGGTTGGATCTTAAGCTCAAATTTTAATCAACTGATTTTTGGATTAATATAATATATTATTAAACCTCTCCCAAAATTTGTGTATCTATCAATAGAACCAATAGTGTTTTGTAGTTGATTATATTCCTACTTAAAAGATTATATTGCAAAATTTATTCTACACTTGATGATGCAAGCACTTTGTATAAAATACATACATACATATAGAGTGCATTGTTTTACAAATGGCAATATAGTCTGTAGTAAAAACCATCCTTTCAATGTCTAAAATTAAGTTAATTAAAAATAGTTACCGAAAGTTGGGTTCTTAATCTTCTGTTCTAACTAAGCACAAAACCGAGTTGAAAAAAATTACTAATTGGTAAAACTCCATACTCTCCTGCTTCATCGCAACCAAGCGATCACAGAAGTTGATGACCTCACCATTTAAAAATCAAACTTTTGCATAAATATCTGAGAGTTTTGGTTTATTTATTAGTATATATATATATATATATATATATAATTATATAGAAGAAATAAATATATGGCTTTGGAATATACTCAATTGATATATCGTACACACTATACATTTAGTTGTCCATGCAATGATGGAATATTACAAAATTTTAAATACACAAAAAAACAAGACTTGCAACAATTTCATAAAAATGTTTATTTATATTTCAGTACAAGTAAAAGCAAGTGGAATCTCGAGGTGAAAAATCCTATGTTATTCTACTCACTTCAAACTTTGGTCCTTGTTTCTTGTTATCATTGGATTAATATTCTTATTAGAATACACTTTACTTATCCAATTATAATTACATAAGTTTTTTATTCTCAAATTTAAATTTCCAGTATTTGAAGAATATGCTATCGGTTAAATAATGGGTACCAAACTAAAACCATTAATTGTATATGTTTCTAAAATCGTTTGCAAATGATGTGTTATTGATACATTGTGTGATCTGATGATTGAAAATCTAAGATATGTGTTGCATTCTCTTGCTGCATTCAGGGAATGTTTAAATAAGTTTAAATATTTTAATTTTGTATTCGAAACAAACAAGTTAATTACAGCATTTGATACCTATACATCTATTTTACACGACTCAATTCCAGTTTTTTGGTGAGATTTTTCTCAAGGAAATTCAAATTCATCCTTTTAAGAAGTTTATGAAACTATTACATGAATTTTTTTATCTTGTTGAATTTTTTTTTTTTTTTCAGGTACTTCCGTATTAAAAATAAAATAAAATGTAACAGTTAAATTTTGAACGTGAAAATGAAAATCTGTGAGCAAATAAACTAAGCAGTCTTATCTCAAAGTTGCCACATAAGATTGGTAATTTCTTTGTGCAATGCATTTCCTAATTTATTTTACTTAAAGTGGTTAAAATAGGCATTTTGAGGATGTATTTTAAAGCTATTAATTCTTGTATATATATATATATATATATGCACGTGAATACTTGTAAGTCGATACAACTATTTTCTTGATAGACACACTTTAGTTACCAATATAGAATTGCATCCAAAAAACATGTAATGTCATATCACAAATACACTGTCAAGAAAATAGTTGTAAGTAATTTTAATCCAAAAAGAATAAATTTAAGTCATTGTATTCTATAAAGCATGCATGCATTTGCATTTTCAGTAGAACCATTTTTTCTCTTTTTCTTTTAAATGTCCTCCTGAACCACATTATATTTGTGGAATTTTAAAAACAAATTATGCCAGAATGCCAACTTGAGTCCTGTGCTTTCATTTCTATTTATTGTCCTTTTTTTTTTTTCTTTTTTTTTCTTTTTTTTTCTTTTTGTTGGCTTGGTTATGTTTAGGCATACACCATGTTTTGTTAGCTTTACAGAAAGTAATTCTGGTCAAAAGTTACGTGGTCTGATTTTGCCATCAGAAACAGCAAAAATACCAGAAGTTCATATAGTAAGTTATGAATTCTTTCGTGTATTAAATACACAGCAGCATGTAGTAAGTTACGTATTTTTCCCAACATGGCAATGAAAAACTTAGAAAAAAAAAAAGTTTGATTTATGAATGGGTTATGCATACAGCCAGGCTTCTGAGTAACAAATAAATTCGAAAACCGTCGAAAGTAAATTACATTACCGAATTATACGGAATAAAGAAGAGCTGAGATTATATTGAGTGGCACTAAAAAAATGGGAGAATAAATGAATGAATGAATATATATATATATATATATATATATATATCCACACACCCAAGCAACAGTAATAAAAGGATTCATTAATAGAATTGAGCATTTACGAATCTCATCGAATTATCCTCATAAAAGTTTTTTTTTTTTTTTTTTTTTTTTTTTTAAATAACAAACAAACAATACATACAACTTTGTATGTATGCATGCAAATAAATAACAAGTTATATATAAATATAAACAAATTCAATGATAAGGATTGAAGGGGGCTTTGTAGTAAATCCCCCCCCCCCTCCCTCCTATAATAAAAATATGAAAGACCCCCGTGGTGGAGCTGTCTAACAATAATACACAAATTGTTTCCAAATAACTGATGCTCACAAGAAAATTAAACAAGACAGGTCTTATCCATGTTCAGGAGGCCTCAATGACCGGGACTCTCAAGGAAGCTACGAGGCGCCCTTCAAAACCCTAATTTTAGACATGCTCTATTGTGTCACGTTGGGTTCTGTAGAGACCCTGCACAGTGCGAGAATCGCACACTGGGCCTTCTTTTCTCTGTTGCGGCGTGTATTTTTCGAGCTTCCAGCTAATATTCTGCAATATCGTGGGGAAAAGAAGGAAGGCAGTGTTTCACAAGGGCGTGGAGAAACATCGCTCCATTGGCGATCTCTTGATCACACGGGAGCCTCGGAGGCCCCATCTGTTCCTTTTTTGACGAAACTTTCTCGGAGCTCTCAAAATTGGGTCCGCTTAACTGGATCCCTTCCACCTAATCTCTAATTATGGCTATCTCGTTGCGACAGAATCAATTTTTATTCAAGTGAACCTGGAGACCACTTTTGGGGTAAATTGAAAACAATGTACTTCGTGGGGAATGGGATTACAAAGGGCGCCCTGGATCTTGGCATAATTTGCTATGTCAAGCCTCCTCGGCGGCTAAAATTGGTGCCGATCTTAATTGCCCTGGCGGTGTGCTCTTTCAGTCTCCATCGTTGTGTTGTGCGGATTGGAAAAAAAGTTATTCGAAGAAGTGGACTGGTAGGACCCCTCGCACTATAGATTTATGTTTCTCCAACTTTCCTTCACACGTCCTTCTAGGGTTCTACGTTGTGCGTGTGTGTGTGTATCTTTTTTCTTGTATATATTTTAAAATTTTCATGAAATTCTAAAGTGACGGGGCAGTGGACATGTCGAGGACAGAGAAATAGAGGGAAGAAGGAGCGAGGGAGGGAGGAGACCTGCCTCTTACTCTTCCCTCTTCCAGGTACGCATGGTTGGTCATAGGCTCATAGCTGACAAAGCTTGTAGCTATTCCGTTGATCCCACACTTGCAGGCTGCAGCGTAGAGAGCCGGCCAAAAAGCTTGAATCTGTTTGCAGAATCTGATGACAATTCCTGCAAATTGAGGAAAATCGCAACTGAACTGAGCACGAACATATTATGACCGTTAATCCCATCATGCACAGGAAGCACACACGCACACACATACACCGGCAAGCACTCCATTGAGGCCTGGCCTTGCAATTATGGGTAGGCAGCGAGGGCTGGGCTTCAGCATTATGTGCAGTATTTCTTTTTCTTCTGTTCTCGTTTCTGTTCTTCCTCGTCATCATTATCAGAGGGTTCAGCTTGTGATGCCCCATATTCTTGTGATGACCGTATGCAAGTTGAATCGAACACAATTACATTGGCAGTATTCATTCGTAGTGACAGGAGTTACTGCCTGTTGAAGTCAACTTGTGTGTATTGGAGTCTGGTAATGAAGACAGGGCTGCATCCGTGAATAATGGAGGCTCGTAGATCATATATTTGGGTACCTCCGCAGGAGTGAGTTTCCAGCATGGCAGCCAACTCAGACTTGGAAGCTCAATCATGCAGATGCTTCGGCCCTGACAGGAAGGCATTGGATTCTCAGGAAGGGTGACTACGTCCTGTCAGAACCACTAAATCTGTAGTGTCTGTTACACTCTACCTCGATCCTGAACTTCCTGGAGTTCTCCGTATGTGGAGTTGGCTTACAAAAAGACTAGGAATGAGATGATTCTATGATGATGTACCAACAACAGTTGAAGGTAGGTGTATCTGTAGAGCCTTGTTTGTATGTGTGGTTTAGATTTTCCCAATACTGTTTACCAATACTTGAATGCAAGTTCTTCTAAATTGGATCACAAACCAGCCACATATTGATTGTGAGGTGCCATTTTTATTTAAAAAATAAATACCCACATGCTAAATTCCAAATCCTAAACACATGAATCAAGGAAGAAAGTGCTTACATTGCTTTTTAATAGACTCACAAGTTGGTGACCTAGAGGCCATATTCTACCACCATTACAAGAGTAATAACTGGTGTCTGCCTATTAAAAAGCTTGCAAACTTACTACAGTAAAAGGGAATGAGCTGGTAACTTCACTGCAATGTTTGTGCATTAACAAAATACTAGTTTTTTTCTTCTGAATGTTGTGAAAGGATCAGCACATGACTTGGTACATGGACCCATGTGGCTTTTGTACATAACAGATTTGTTTCACAAAGATAGCAGGGGGAGGGTACACTTTAGTGCCCTGCATGGTATGTATTTAATTATTATTTTAGTCGATTTTGTTTGGGATACCTGGAAGATGTGACTGCTATCATTGCTTGTCACAACAGTAAATCCCTCAATAACATTCTTGGCTTATATGGAGCACCAGTTTTATATCCCTAAACTTAGGTTCTAATGGATAACTTGACTGGTTGCATGGTTATGGTTAATGGATACACCATTGAAAAAACAACACTTCCTAAGTTTCTAACATAGTCCTGTGGGTCTTGGAATCCTAAAACAAAAACTGTGGAAAAAAACTGCACCTTCGGGTCATCCCATAATACTAAGGAGCTGTGTTTTGGCATGGGCTTTCACACCTTTCTCTTCTACTTGGATGCTGTCTTGACTAAGGAAACATTGTTGATATCTTAAGCAGGAAGCTTACAGAAGTAGTAACAACTGACTATAGCTAGTAGGGCCCTCATGAACATCAGAGCCAATCTTGTCTACTACAGAATCATTCACTAAGCATTTTATTTCAAGTACTGACAGATACTAGGTTGCTGCATAGTAGACTGGGAAACCTAACACAGACTACAGTTCAGTTGCCTATTCAAGAGGAAGGAGAAGTATTGTCATGGATTGCAAAAAAGTAGCACGTACCTCCAAAGACTCAATTGGGCAATTAGCAATCAATGTGTCTGGACTTGTGGCAGCATTCCACCTCAAGCTGCATGTAAATGGGTGACATCTTTGTGTGCCCAAGGGCTGCTTGTGAGTCTGTACTGCATTAACATAAATTCCACCACCACTCGAAATAGACTGATGTCATTATTGGGATTGGGGGGTACTTTGAGTGTGTACTTTGCAGGACTTCCGACAGAAAGATTGGGCTCAGATGTGCGGTGTACACTACGAAACAAATGTACGTTGTTTTTGAAGATCACCAACTTGATGAGTCAGCCTACTGTTCTTGTTTTCCTACGGAGCTCCTGCAAAGTAATGACATATGGATAGCCATATAAATATACTTCCGAGGATGTATGAATTTGTATTACATTCTGAACGAGACTTTTTCACAAAAGCAAAAAAACAGAATTGATTTGTTGCACTGAAGAACACACCGACCCCAATATATCATGTGTATTGCATGACGTTCCAATGCTTCTCACACCAACATTTCTGGATGGAAATTTTGGAGTTGATCAGACGTGAACAGATAAACACCATCATGCGTAACTCAGTGTGCTGTTCGGAGCGTCCGCCGAGCATCTTGCATGTGGTGAAGGCATTGGGAGCGAATTCCCATCGAATTGTGTAATGGAGTTTTTCGCCGAATTTAAGTATGTTAGGATTCACCTGGCTCTGGTAAGTGGAATTCTCATGGATTCAGTTGTGTCCATTTTCTTTATTGACCATCATAAATTGCATTGGCTGAAGACAGAAAAGGAAATTTGTGCCAGCTGACCCATCGGTCCTTTAAGCCTTCACAACGTTAAACGCTCTCCAGATTCAGGTATCGAATGCCGTGTGTTGGCGATGTGCGAACCCTAAGAAATCGTCGGCTAAACCAGTTGAGTAGTAGTTCAGTTGTTCATAGCCAAATTGTTTACATGCGGTGCATGATGATGTCCTTACCACCTATCCAGGGGACATCTACGCCGAATTGAGGTTTGCATCCAATGATACCTTCATGACGTTGGCGAAAGCTATTCAATCCAACAAGACAATGTTAGTTGTGTTCGAAAGAAGGAATCTCCAGCAAGCACCGTTCGAAAGCGTTTCGTTTACTATATCTTGCCTCGTCGTTCCCATCATCGACATCGAAGCAAAGTGCGTGTCAAATTCCTTATGCATTTTGTTCCAAAATCAATACAGACGACTAGTCCGTGGCAATTATTCATGCCACATCCCAGTCCTACAAAAAGATCAGACAGGGAAGCAGGGAGCTCCGAGGGGGCATGTGTAGAGGGTCTCATCGACACCTGGAGGTTAATTTCTTCTCTTTTGCGGATGTAAATTTGGCATTGGCTAGTTGTGTTCGCTAGAAGAAATCGAGTATGTAAATTTGGCATTGGCTATTTAATCATAGAAACAGCACACTTGTCCATTCAGGGATCCTCTGTGTAGGCTTTATTAGTACATCCTCGTTGGTTGTCGTGTTTTAGGAACGTGGTGAAGTGCGATTGATCTTATGCGAACAGTGTGACTAAACAGGTGTCAGGTGAAGGAGGCAAATGACTCAGATGGAATTTTGCGTGGGATTTTTAGATTCTCCTTGAGAATGGAACCATTCTCGGACCACAACCTGTCCGTGAGGTTAGTTTTGCGGTCTTCGAAGCTGGGTTTGTGAGCTCGCTGCAAACACTCGATTGGTTTTTCCTCTGCAAGTTATGCTGTTTCTGCCTGTAACATTACCCAAAATTGAGTTCCTTCACTCCGGTTTGATTTGAAGCTGGTTGGTTCTGGTGTATGAGGCGCCTAGGACAGAAGGAAGTCATACCCAATTCATAGAACTATACCATCCCTTGGTTCCTTCTGGTGGTTTCTAGCGATTCTCCAGATTAGGAATCTATTCCCTGATCAGAAACCTGCCTGCGGGGAACCTGTCTAAGCTGACTATTTTTTCCTCGGACTAATTCCAATCGGGTGAATGTTAAAGAGTTAGGTCTTAGAATTGCGAGTGCGACTCTTCCATTCGTTCTGGCCGGCAGGAGTATTCACTTGGAATTCTAATAAGCTTGTTTGTTCCTTTCTGACTGCGACTGAACTTTGGTAAGTATTTCTCATTCCGCTAGACAGGATCGAAATTTTGATCGTCAAAAATGTTTAGGATCATGCAGATAATTTTGACATTGATAGCCGAGTTGATTGGAACTTGACTAGCACAACAAATGATGTCGAATCTGTACAACCGATGTTTAAGGCATTGAGCTAATTGATGTGTTAATGCTCGAATTTGCAGCAAACTAGTAGTGCGTGGATGTGTAAGCTTGCTCAATCTTCAGGCAATGATGAGTTGAAGATGGCGACAATGAGGTGCACAACTCTTTCTTTTAAATGCCTCACAAAGTACTAGTTGTGACGATAATACATAGAAAGAAGTAAGGGTTTAGGTCTAGCGAGTTCATGGCATTCTTAGCGATGTTCCATGCCCCAATAGTGTTTTCCAAGCCATCAATCTAAGGCATGGTTCACACGAAGGGTGAGTTCGTTTGGCCTGTGTTTAGTAGTTCAAGCATTGCTTTTGGTTGTGCAGAAAGCAGGGAAACTGGTAACATTTAACATTGCACTTTAAGTGTGGTCGCGTGGACCATGGGTGCTTCTGGATCTATTATTGCATCCTCAGGGGAAGTATTTGTGAGTCCAGAACTGCAGAACATGTGTGATAAAAATGTTACTCTCAAGACACTGACGATAATGCGGAGACCGCTGGGTTCATTTGGAGGATATCAAGGAAGTAAATTACCTATTCTCGGACTTGGACAACACGAGTACGTCATTATAGATGCTGCGACGGAGAGGTTTATCAAGGCGGAGAAATTCGGGAAATCGAAGGGAAGGCCTGCAGGCATCCACATTGCCCTAGAATCTGACGATGAGGCAACAGGGAACTGCCGCAAGAAGGTGAATCTGATGGGAGTGAGCATGCAACTTGCGGAGTTGGTTCAGATTCTGGGAAGCCCCAGACCTGATTATAACCTCTTCACCAACAATTGCTGGAAGTACGCATTTTGGACTGCTCACAACTTACTGGGAAGATGTATTGCTAATGTTGGGATTCCTTTCACTACCCGCCAGGCCCTTCAAAACGAACTCGTAAGCCTGTTAGAGTATGATCGCAGTTCGCCAACTCGATTGATGATAACTGGTTTTGTATCTCCCCGCCTGAACATTTGAAAAAAAATACAGCTCCGGTCTTCCACTCAACGATGATCGATTCCTCCCTGGAATTGAAACTGGACGAACTAAAGTTGCAACAACTACCTTCTTCAGCGAAAACAGATCTAAATGCAAACCCCACTCGGAGGATCACAATCCAACTATCCCGTAGTGCCCATGGCAACAATGACATGTTTTTACTTATCATTGTATGTAATAGTTGTGCAAAAGTTACTAACACAGTCCCATTCGTCTTAGCCACACTGCTATAGTTTACACTTCTCAGAAACGTTGCGCAGGCCCACACCCTTTGTGGTACTTCATTGGAAGCTTATGAGTGCAGCCAACACATAGATCTCATTTACAAAGTCTACAACTAAATTCCACGAGCTCCAATTGGTTTGTCAGCATCCATCAAACGTATCGTATACCATGACAGTGTCGTGTAGGTGGAAGTTCTACACGGACAAAGGTGATAGCTTGGGTGTACTAGACAACGATAAGGCTTCCGCTCCTCTGGAGTCCTGGCGACTGTCAAGAGGAGTTTTTGGATAGCAGTTTGTGCAGACCATCCATCAGCATCCAGAATGTATTCACCTCCATGGATCACCAGTGCTGCGAATGGACGATGGTGAGGTTTCTGCAAACAAAGGTGAGGCCCCACCTGTTCCACTGAGCGGCGCTAAGCTACAGATGTCAAGTGACATATTAACCTCAAAAGCTTTCAATATGAACATCTCTGATGGTGTGTGAAACTAGGACACTGGCGTTGCTACTGTTTCCATCACATTGCTGACACCGCAAAGTACAATTCAATTTGCATTCTTCTCTAAATTAATCAAAATACGAGTATTTAAACATCAGGATTAGTAGATTAGTAGGTCCACCTTGAAGGTATCGGTGTCTCTACATGCAGAAGAAAATCTGATCCATAAAGAGATAAAGAATCGGACACTTGCTTGAGACAATGGTGATAATCTTTACTTCTGTCCCTTTACATTGATATCCAAAAATCATTTGCATTAGTATCATCACATGACACCTCATTGTTCACAATTTTATTTGTATGAGAACAAGTGTCGTATGTCAACTAGCTTTGTAGTAGTTCATGGATCTAAACCATATTAATTGTTCTATGTTTTTTTCAAACCAAATTCATTGCTTAAAGATCATGTCATTTTGTTGCTTCAAAATAGTACAAAAACATGCACCTGCAATAAGAAGCCATAACACCTTCATGTCTATGAATTGGATAAGTGCTTTCTAAAATATTGTTTGTCAAAAGTTAAGAATAGGTTGAAGTAGATTCCTTAGACCTTCATTCTTGAGGTAATAAAGAATGATTGTATTCCAATCCCAAATTTGTTGAGTTGTATTATATCTCCAAAATATACAAACAATTGTTTTTAAGGCCACTAGAAGATAGAAGAGGCAAGCACTACTAATGATATTATTCATTTTTTTTTTTTTTTTTTTTTTTTTTTTTTTTTTTCTCTTTAAGCATTAATATTTATTTTTTTATACCAAATAAGTAAAATAGTATATTTTTTTTGCTTTAATATTATTTTATAAAATATGAATTTTTTTCTAAAATTTAAGAGAAGTATCCATTGCTATTTGAAATTTAAGTTTGTAGATATTGTATCATAGTATTACACATTTTTAATTTCATTTTTATATTTTATTCTTTTAAGTTTTATTTTTAGCCTCATAATTAATTATTAGGATTAAAATTAATTTTGAATAAAATTCCAAAGAAGATGAAATAGTGATAATTAATTGATTATAATCCTTATTATTTTTTTATTCTATAATATTATAAAAATATAGGAGTTAAATAGAAGAAATTTGTATAAAATATTTAATATTAATATATGTGGATCTTTCTATAATATGATTTTTTTTTATAAAATAATAATACCTTAAATCATGCTCTTGTATGTAATAAAGAAGTTTCTATCTTTACATCATTTTATCTTTAGGAATTTTAAAAATAAAAACTTGCAAGTTTGAATTGTTGTAATCATATAATTCAATTTAATTATTCTCTTTAAAATCAAGAGAACTTAGAAACAAGGTTACTCTTCAAGTTTTTATTATTTGAAATATTAAGAATTTTTAGATGTATTGATTAAAAGATAGGAGGTTTTATACAATAACTACAAGATTATACTTTAATGTGCATTTAGTTTATGCAAACCATTGTTGTAGACATATATTTATTGTAATTATTACCTAGGTAATATGAATAGGTAGAAATAGATGAAAGTAGATTAATTTCATAATATCTTTTAGGAAAGCTTCTTAAAAGCTTTATAGATGGTGCTTTGACTTTATATGTATTTGTAGTTGATTAATAAGTTAGAAACTTAATCAAAAAGTTAACCATGTGCCATATGTATTGATAGATTATATAACAAGTTAATTATGTCTTGCAAGTTAAGATATGTGTTGTGCAAAGTCAACATGTTTTGGAGGTCCTATAGAATGTTGCCACATAGCTCTTAAGTAGATAATATATATAGAAGTAAGAATAAAGCCTTCTTCACTCTTGTCAACTCTTTTCTTGCTTCTAGTCTAGTTTCAAGAGTGTCAAGTTTCCTTGTCTTTTGGCAATAATTATTTCAATTTTCTTTTTGATATATATGCTTCACTATTTTTATTTTTTCATACTTCTTTGAAAAAGTCTCACTTGTTTATTTTCTTTTATCAAGTTCTTGTCCTTAACAATTGATGATAGTATATTTATAATATTAAAGCTTTGTCTTTTCTTGATTAAAAATGGATTATCCCTTTTTCTTTACAAGACATAAGCATATTAAAAGTTACGGATTATCTTCTTCTAAATTGATATTATTTTTAGTAATTTTTTTATTTTCAAGTTCTTTTTTTTTATTAATCTTAAGGAGTATTAGACATTTCTTTTCATTTAAGTGTTATTATGGCAGAGCTTATTAAAATGAAGAGTGCAATGGCACAAATGCAAGAACAATTGAGAGAGTTAATGCTTGTGATGTATTAACTGAATTTATCATTATTAAAAAAACAAAAATGATAGAAAATAGAGATATAGAAATGATTGGAGTTGCTTCAATATCTGCACCAAATCATATTCCTTCTCCTACAGTGGAATACCATTTAAGCACTAGAAAATAAAGAATTACCTTACTTGAGAAGTTTGATGGTACAAGATCAAAGTTTTGAAGATTTATGTAAACTTGATTGAAGTATCTTTAAACTTCAAGATCAATCAAATATAATTGGAAATTGAACTTCAATTCCAAAGCTATTCAACTTTAGAATTATAAGTTAGATTTATTAGAATATTACTTTTTGGTTTTGTATTATCATAGTTTTTATCTTTTTTTGAATAACATGATTGAATATTAGATAATTTATAAGCTTTTTTGATGGAATTTCAATTTATGTATGGAAAATATGATGCAATTTATATTACAAAAAATAAGATTTATATTTTGTGACAAAGAAATCAATTTATAATATTGTATGCTTTAGAATTTTGACAACTTATAATTGATATCAAGTAAGATGATGCTGCACTTACAAGCCAATTTCTTTATGGATTATAATATGAAGAAAAAAAATGATGTTTAGTTTACATGATCCTCAAACATTGAGTCAAACAATTGATTTTGCTATAAAGTATGATAATTGATTTTTTGAATTTTGATTTAAAAATTATATAGGTAGACCTCAACCTTATTAGAATTTAATGGTAATACCAATGTCTTCTTAATACATACCTTTGAAAGTAGAGGATATGCAAATTAATATGGTACATTTTAAATTTTTTACTAAGTAAGAAAAGATTCATTATCATCAAGAAGGATTATGTTTATATTATGGAGAATCAAAACACACTGCTTAATATTATTGTAAGAAGCAATGCAATCATAAATAAGAAGTACAATTGTCAAAAAAGACACTATGTTAGAAAATAAGTTTGTCCAGTTATAATAGAGATAGTGTGGCTGGAATCTTGTACAATACCTAATGAAGGTCCTATTTTGTTCTCAAAACCTTCTCCTTATTTTATAATAGATGTTAGTTTATGACCTAAATATTACAAAGCCTTTGCCTTGCTAGATTCAAGAGTCTCAACTTATTTTTTAGATGAAGAGTTTGTTAAAAGATATAACATAAATTTAATAAAATATATATATATATATATATATATATATATATATATATATTCATGTAGAAATCATAGATGATTTTTTATTATTCTTTGAAGATGTTATTCATGAAATATTATCTTTAGAAGTAGTAATTAATGATCATAATAGCTTTGTGGTATTTAATATCATTAGATCTTATTATAATCTATTTATTTTAGATTTATTATGATTAAAAAAGAATAATCCTTGAATAGATTGGATTTCTTGTAGTCTTGATTTTTTGAAAGTGTAATTAAGGATGTAATTAATTAAGTTAAAAATCATAAGTTTAATATAATTAAACTTGTATTTGTAAATAGAAGAGCTTTTTTGCATACTCCAAAAGAAGAATCACCTTGTGTCATTTATACCACAACTATTCTTAATGGTGAAAAGAATTCAAATCAAATTCTTAGCTAATATCAAGATTTTCAAGATATATTATAGAAGAAGAATGCAGAGACTCTTTTGGATCATTCTTCCTATGATTAATAAATTGACCTTCAAGAGAGAGCTCAATTGCCATTTGGACCAATCTACAGTTTATTACAAAATGAGTTGACTGAATTTAAAGAGTACACTAAAGAGAGTTTAGCCAAGAACTTCATACGCTATTATAAATCTCTAGTAGAAGCTTTAATTTTATTTATAAAGAAAAAAGATGGATTATTACAAATGTATGTTAATTATTGAGGACTTAATAAGATCACCATAAAAAACAAGTACCTATTACCTTTGATATCTAGTCTTCTTATTCAAATAAATTAAGCTAAGATCTATACAAAAATAGATTTATAAGGGGCATACAATTTGATATATATTGAAGAAGGAGATAAATAGAAGACTGTGTTTTGAATAATGTAGAAACATTTTGAACATAATATCATATCTTTTGGACTTATAAATGTACCAATAGCTTTTCAACATCTAATAAATGATGATTTTTGAGAGTTTTTAGATGATTTTATTAATTTTTATCTAAATGACATCTTAATCTATTCTAAGAATACAGAAGAATATAAACCTCATATTTGCTGTGTATTACAAAAATTAAGAGATCCAAGATTCTATGCCAAGATAAAAAAGTATATATTTCACACTATTCAAGGCAACTTCTTAGGATACATCATTTCAAATGATCGACTTATAATGGATTTTAAGAAAGTTCAAACTATTATGGATTGAAAGATCCAAAAAATGATAAAAGATATCCAATGCTTTTTGGAATTTATCAACTATTATTGGATCTTTATCAAGGATTTCTCTCAAATTATGGTTTTACTTATACATTTAATTTTTTAAAGAAAAAATTCAATAAAATTAAGAAGTAAAAGCAACATTAGAAGTTTTAAAAATAAACTTTGTTTTTGTACCAATTTTGTATTGTGTCAATTTTTTAAAATCATTTTTTATGGAAATAGATGCATCAAAATTTGCTTTGGTTGTGATATTATTATAATTAGAAAAAATAATAAACTTTACTTAATAGCTTTTTATTCTATATTTTTTTCAATAAGCAAGATCAACTATTAGATCAAGAATGGCACCATTATCTAGAAGATGGTCCTAATCAAGTCACCATATATAAAAATCACAAGAATCTTAAATATTTTATATCAATACACATTTTGAATTGTCAACAATCTTATTAGAACATGTTCTTATCAAGATTTGAATTTAAAATATTTTATTAACTAAAAAAATAATAAGGTTTTTTAAACACACTTTTTAGATGATTTTACCTTCGATGAAAAGAAAAAAATGCTGCTTTTGATCAACAATGGATAATTTTCTTGAAACTAAAGCATCTTCATCTTCAAGCAATGAAATCAATACTAATTGTTCATTCAACTTTT